CCTTTTAATAGTATATAGCATTAAATCCAATTTAAGGCTTTATACGTATATTAAATAAATAAATTTTGAATTTGGATATATATTTTAGGCAATTTCTATTTGTACACGGGTGTTTATACACGGGCAATATAAAACCCAACCGATATCTCAAAATTTTGATTATGAAACCACTTTTTGGCTTCTAATAAAAAAATTCCTTGCGAGATTTTAGTATAAACTATACTTCGCCCCAATCCCAAACCAACCCTTGCCCTAACCATAAGCAAGGATTGAATTTTTCGTTCGTAAAATTTGCATGTTACACAATTTGCAAACTACGGATTAATACCTGTGTATAAACACCCGTGTAAATTAAGAAATTTTCTATATTTTATACATTCGAATTGAATGTAATTTGACTTAGAATTTTGTAGCAACAATTAAATAAATTCTAATAAGTTGAATAAATATATAAAAAAAAAACTTTAAGAAATCTCGTTATCTCGTAATTCTGTTATTCTTGTGCGCAGATTGAAATTTAAAAAACGATTACGCAATTGATTTTGGTGATACTACGTACGTACGTAGGTAGGTACGTAGGTAGGTACGTAGGTATTCAGTAAAGTAGTACTGTATGCTAGTACAAATTCGGACGGACATACTAAATTTTGAAAGTACGTACGGCTAATATAGACTTGTAAAATTCAATTTTTATAAGTAACCATTTTTAATGGTTAGGGTTAGGGTGAGCTTAGGATTGTCCTTTTTTCATAGGGTAATTAGTAAAAGTATCATGGGCTTTCTTTTACAAACCGTACGTACGTACTACATTGATTTCCACACGTCTTAATTTGCGTTTCCGTACCGTACTACTTTACTATATAGCCAACTACGTTGAACTAAATTTCATAATAAGACATTATACAAGAGTACAAATAGTTCAATTTAATAGTGCTCCGAAACGGACAGTAAACCCGGGTAACTCGAATTTTTTTTAAACCCGAGCTTAAAAATACATCAAATGACCCGGGTTCAACCTTATTTAATAATTTTTACGTATCAAATTTTATCGTAACTAATTAGATTGCAGGTTTTTTAAAATTTTTCTAAAAGTTAGAACTATTTTTGTCAACTTCTAAAAGTAATTTAACTTTCTCTACGAATACATTAAGTTTTTTGATTCTAAACATCTTCGATTAACGCGTAGTAACCTTTACGAAATGTGATTCATGTTTCATAACTAGGAAAACTGTTTTTGGCAAATGGCGAAAGACGAAGGGAAGATTGAACCCCGTGATATCTTCGTGCTCATCACATCACATGATTAAATTACTCGGCCTAAATTAGAGTTAGGGTTAGGGTTAGATGATAGTATAGTTTAGGCCGATTTGTTAGTGCGAGTAAACAAATGACGTCATTAACGATTTCATGTGATGTGATGATCACTGGGGTACCTATTCTTCAAGTGTCCCAAAGACGAAACTAAACCCGGCGAAAGACGAAACGGCGAAACCCCTGGTAAAGTTGAAACCCCTAAGGAAAGTCAAAACTCGGCGAAGATTAAATCCTCTAAGACTTTAGAAAAGACTGAGTCATGTTAGTAAATCAAAATATTTTTCATGTGGCTATTAAGCACAGCATGTGTCTTATTTAAAAATGTACAAAAGCAATAAGCAAAGTGATAACCTTTCGTTTGTATTCAAGTACTATTACGAAAATTAGATTTCCGGTTTTTGGAACTTAGAAGTAAATTCAACCTTGAAAATTCAAAGCCTAAAATCTTGTTTTCTTTTAGTAGCGTTTATCTATGTATTAATATTATTTATATAAAATATACATTTAAATAAAGTTATTGTTAGATAGTTGAGGTTTTTTCTTTTTAATATTTCATTGTTAAAAACTTTAATTAAAATACTATATATACGTATGTAAGTAGTTCGTTAACACTAATATTACTGGCGATTAATTCCCGATGCTCTAGCTCTAAATCTTAGGGGTATTAATTTGCAAATCCGTGTAATGTGTAAATCAAAAAAAAATTGCGTAAAATGAAAAATTAAGCGTAGCCTAAAAATTAGGGTAAGAGCAGCCTTGGGATGGGACGAGGTTAAAGGTGGTTGAATAAGCGAAATTTTGAGTTATAAACGGTTTTTTAAAGAAAGCAATATTTTTACGTTACAACTGATCGTGTAACCTGATTGGCTTTCTATATATCCGTGTAAATATATGTAGTGTACAAATAGGAATTGCCTATAATTTCTATTGTAAAAAATATATTTGTTCAGACTAACACTTGCATCGGATCACAGCTGATGCACCTCAGATGCAAATTGTCAGGTGAGGTGCGTAACCTATCACCTAAGCTGCAATCTGACGGAAGTCCGAGAGTAAAATAAACTGAATAAAAGACCTTTTACTTGGGGGCCTCTTTTTTGTTTTTGATTTCTTGGATCTTTTCGGCGTTTTTCTACTGGTAGCATTCTTCACTTTAAACCATTTTGGTGATTTTCTTAACTCCAGCAGCATCCTATATCTTATCTTATCTTCAAAAGCGTTTTTGAATCTCTTGTATTTTATCATCAACAGTAGCAATCTTTTACATTAAGTCTCTTCAGCACCTCCGCTCTTTTCTTTAAAATTCTTTGTCAGAATTTCACGGCACATTCTATTTCCAATTAATACGTACTTTTCTTTTTCTCTTTATATAGTTTTTTTTTTTTTTTTTTTTTTTTTTTTGTCTAAATTTTCACAGCATATTCTTACGGTCTAAGTTTTTTAGCACATTGAATCTTCAATAATTTCTATACATAATTTTTTTTTTTGTGTTTACTACCGATCGATAGGTTACGCACCTCACCTAACAATACAGCAATAACATCTGAAGTGCGTCAGCTGTGATCTGAGGCAAGCGTTAATCCGAGGCACAACATATATATAGTAACAAATATAATAATATATAATATTATATAAATATAAATACTGTATATAAATAAAAATAATTATTGTCACAGATCATATGAAATCGGTTTAAAATGAAATTTGGGGTTTCTATTTAACCTCCTAAACCCCACTTATACTTGTTTACTATTAATTTTACCCCTAAAGCTGTCCCCTAACCCTAAAAAAAAGCTAAAAAAAATGCAACCCAAAATTTTATATTTTTCTGTGGCTTGTTTATTTTACTTTATACAAAATTTCATTTTAATCTGATTTCATTTTAATCTGTCACAGTTATTATATAAAAAGTTTTAAATATCTTTAATTACCTTTTTATTATTACTTTTTTTTTTATTAATTTTATTATCTTTCACTAGTTGTGCTACCTTTTTCTAGTTTCGCCACCTTTTAGCAGTTTCACCAGTTTCACCACTTTTCGCCATTTCGCCTTTTTAATTTTTTTTGGCGAAAGTCGAAACTAGGTTTCGCCATTCGTCTGTGTCGAAACCTCTAAGTTTCGCCTGCCAACACTAGTTCTGATGCTGTACGTATATAGAGTCACTGTATATTATGTATTTTATTATTGTTATATTTATTATTTTTATTGTATGTATTAGAAATATACAGTAATATTATGTATAATTATTCATTTGAATAGATATCCGATCTGTATATACATCTAGATTATAATTAAGCCGCAGATTATAAATTTGAGTTAAATCGGCTCTATACCAGATAAACAGATTCCAAAAATTGAAACCTAGTTTCATTTAACCAATCAAAATTCTTGCTGATCAATCAATAAAAACAAAAATATTTATTAGCCCGATTAAATTCAACCGGTTTAGCTTAAATATTAACCGGATTTGAATTTACAATCAGTTCCGACTTCTGAATCACTATGAATCAATAATTTTTTGAATCTTTCTTAATCTTATAGGTATGTCATACGTACTATTATTGCTTTATTGAAACATAAATCATATTCCTTAACCTTATTTTTGTGAAAAAAATCTTTTAGCATAGAATTTAAGTTATTATTAGATTCTATATAAAAAAAAAAAAAAAAACCGAGTGTAGTACGAAATCGTAGTACGAAATCGTAGTACGAAATCTCGATAAAGTCCCCTAGTTTTTAATTAATACAACTGTAAGAAATAATGAGTATAAAGTTTGTACTAAATATTATTGGGGTACTTATTTTCGGGATTATATAATAATATGCGATAGTAAACGAGATTAGATGAATATAGCAAAAAAAAAAAACCATAAAAAAGAAGAGTTATAAAAAACAGCATCGTGAGGCAAAAAATGTATAAAAGTTCGAGAGCGAAAAAAAGAATTAATGAACATATATTTGATGTTAAATTGTTCGAGTTTAAAGGTGAAAAAAACCAAAGCATGTCATTTTAATGCTTTGCATGAAAAATAAAAATAAACAATACCAACTACATACAAAAAAAAAAAAAAAAAAAGGTTTGAGGGCGAAAAAAAATAATATATATATGTGATGTTAATTGTTCGAGAAAAAAATCAAAGCAATGCTTTGCATGAAAAATAAAAATAAAAAAAAACAAATTACAAAGGATGTCTATGTACATATATACAAATCTATCAATATTTACAATCTATAATCTAAATAGTGAATTAAAAGGAAACTGAATTTAAAACAAACCAAAAAAAAAATCTATTTCTGGAAACTCTAAGTGTTCTTAACAAAAGAAAGAATATCTTTCTATAGGCTGAAAGAAGAAAATCTTTCATAATTGGATATTGAAAAACAATTACTTAATGGATAATATGATGTTGAGCTGAAGAAAAAATTTCAATAATTGATGCTGAATTTAAAAAAAAGCCTTTAAATGAAAATCGAATAAAAAAATAAAATATAACTAAAATAAAAAGAAAGCAGTGTTATATTCTATCAACCCGTTGTATAAAATATTACCTAAATTATGTTATTGAAGCTAAGATATATTTAATAAAGATGATAAAAATTTCTTAATATTATTAATAAAATAAAAAAATTTTTTTTTTTTAAAAAAAACCGAAATTTTATGTTATCCATAAAAACCTAACCCCAATTAGGAACTGTTGGAAAATGTCATTTCTTCTGAATTGTCCAACGTTGATGTTTGGGTGTCCGCAGTTAAATTTATGCGTGAGAGCTGATCCACATCTTCCGAAGTAAACAAGTGAAGATTATTGATATAATTGCTAAGAATTGATGATTGATTCGTATCCTCGAAATCTTGCGACGGTATAAGAGGTGATGATTGGTTAGATAATTTTTCAAAATCGTGAATTGGTGATTGCATATGTGCAGACGTAGAAGCAGATGAGTTATTTGATGTGTAATAATTAATTGGAATAATTGGAGAAAGATGAGTTGGGGAATAAGGCGCAGAAAAATATTGTATAGTGTTCAAAGTTAATTCTCCATTTGAATACATTGGAGTCCTATAATTCGGACTTAGAGAGCGTGAAACATGTTCACGGTTTCGGGCTTCTTGTCTACTGTGGCGGTTATCACGACTTCGTGAACGATGCGATGGAAATTGTCTGTTGGTGGGCCTAGATGATCGGGTTTCAGAAATTGCTTGTTCATCTATTTCTAAATTATTATCAAACCAGTTTGCGTTCAGAGTTTCTTGAGGAATTTGTTCGTCTGAATTTTTGTTTAATTGATTTGACTGAGCTAAATCAAACATTGGCCCATGATTTATTTCAAATAAAATTTCGTCAAATTGTTCATTATCGAAAAGGTCAACAAAACTTGTATCTTGTAGATTTTCTTGGTTTAAACTGGTTAACAATATTGATTGTCCATTGCTCGAAGTATTCTCCAAAACTACGTCTGGTTGAATGTTTTGACCAAAATTGGTTGGTGTTGTTTTGTTATTTGTCATCTCAGAATGAGAATTTCTGTTTGGAAAATTTCGGATGTGATCGGAAACAGCTTGCTTATCTTCACCTAGTAATTGATACAATTTTTTACCCCATTCTTGGAACTCTGCATTAGTCGGCGCACCGGTGCTCGATCCAGTTGCTTTTTTACGCCCCCTTTTCTGTCGTGGGCCGAATATACATTCAACTCCGCAACCTTCTTTGATACATAATTTGCATGGACCCTCACCTTCACGGACACATCTTACTTTTTTTGTTTTGCAAATATCACAAGCCGCAGTAGCTTTTTTAATTGCAGTTTTATCGTTCTTACTAGGCATAGGCTTTTTCCCATCCGACTTCTTTTTCGAATTAGTATTTTGTGTCATCTTGTGCGACGAGTATTTAAAAATTAAAAAAGATATTGCTAAATTTATTTTTCTAAGTTTATTAGCGCAAAGTGTATTACGTAATGTATATGCACTTAATAAATATTTCAAGCAAATATCTTTAATCAACTATATGATGAAAAATACTTATGTATGTCAACTATGGATGGCAAATGTTTTTTATTACGTAATTAAAAACAGGTGAAGATAAATTAAAAACAGTTGAGCTTTACTCAAATCAGTATTCGGGCTTTAATCATCACAAGTTTTGAACAGGAGAAAAAAGCTACTGCGGCTTGTGATATTTGCAAAACAAAAAAAGTAAGATGTGTCCGTGAAGGTGAGGGTCCATGCAAATTATGTATCAAAGAAGGTTGCGGAGTTGAATGTATATTCGGCCCACGACAGAAAAGGGGGCGTAAAAAAGCAACTGGATCGAGCACCGGTGCGCCGACTAATGCAGAGTTCCAAGAATGGGGTAAAAAATTGTATCAATTACTAGGTGAAGATAAGCAAGCTGTTTCCGATCACATCCGAAATTTTCCAAACAGAAATTCTCATTCTGAGATGACAAATAACAAAACAACACCAACCAATTTTGGTCAAAACATTCAACCAGACGTAGTTTTGGAGAATACTTCGAGCAATGGACAATCAATATTGTTAACCAGTTTAAACCAAGAAAATCTACAAGATACAAGTTTTGTTGACCTTTTCGATAATGAACAATTTGACGAAATTTTATTTGAAATAAATCATGGGCCAATGTTTGATTTAGCTCAGTCAAATCAATTAAACAAAAATTCAGACGAACAAATTCCTCAAGAAACTCTGAACGCAAACTGGTTTGATAATAATTTAGAAATAGATGAACAAGCAATTTCTGAAACCCGATCATCTAGGCCCACCAACAGACAATTTCCATCGCATCGTTCACGAAGTCGTGATAACCGCCACAGTAGACAAGAAGCCCGAAACCGTGAACATGTTTCACGCTCTCTAAGTCCGAATTATAGGACTCCAATGTATTCAAATGGAGAATTAACTTTGAACACTATACAATATTTTTCTGCGCCTTATTCCCCAACTCATCTTTCTCCAATTATTCCAATTAATTATTACACATCAAATAACTCATCTGCTTCTACGTCTGCACATATGCAATCACCAATTCACGATTTTGAAAAATTATCTAACCAATCATCACCTCTTATACCGTCGCAAGATTTCGAGGATACGAATCAATCATCAATTCTTAGCAATTATATCAATAATCTTCACTTGTTTACTTCGGAAGATGTGGATCAGCTCTCACGCATAAATTTAACTGCGGACACCCAAACATCAACGTTGGACAATTCAGAAGAAATGACATTTTCCAACAGTTCCTAATTGGGGTTAGGTTTTTATGGATAACATAAAATTTCGGTTTTTTTTAAAAAAAAAAAATTTTTTTATTTTATTAATAATATTAAGAAATTTTTATCATCTTTATTAAATATATCTTAGCTTCAATAACATAATTTAGGTAATATTTTATACAACGGGTTGATAGAATATAACACTGCTTTCTTTTTATTTTAGTTATATTTTATTTTTTTATTCGATTTTCATTTAAAGGCTTTTTTTTAAATTCAGCATCAATTATTGAAATTTTTTCTTCAGCTCAACATCATATTATCCATTAAGTAATTGTTTTTCAATATCCAATTATGAAAGATTTTCTTCTTTCAGCCTATAGAAAGATATTCTTTCTTTTGTTAAGAACACTTAGAGTTTCCAGAAATAGATTTTTTTTTTGGTTTGTTTTAAATTCAGTTTCCTTTTAATTCACTATTTAGATTATAGATTGTAAATATTGATAGATTTGTATATATGTACATAGACATCCTTTGTAATTTGTTTTTTTTTATTTTTATTTTTCATGCAAAGCATTGCTTTGATTTTTTTCTCGAACAATTAACATCACATATATATATTATTTTTTTTCGCCCTCAAACCTTTTTTTTTTTTTTTTTTTGTATGTAGTTGGTATTGTTTATTTTTATTTTTCATGCAAAGCATTAAAATGACATGCTTTGGTTTTTTTCACCTTTAAACTCGAACAATTTAACATCAAATATATGTTCATTAATTCTTTTTTTCGCTCTCGAACTTTTATACATTTTTTGCCTCACGATGCTGTTTTTTATAACTCTTCTTTTTTATGGTTTTTTTTTTTTGCTATATTCATCTAATCTCGTTTACTATCGCATATTATTATATAATCCCGAAAATAAGTACCCCAATAATATTTAGTACAAACTTTATACTCATTATTTCTTACAGTTGTATTAATTAAAAACTAGGGGACTTTATCGAGATTTCGTACTACGATTTCGTACTACGATTTCGTACTACACTCGGTTTTTTTTTTTTTTTTTATATAGAATCTAATAATAACTTAAATTCTATGCTAAAAGATTTTTTTCACAAAAATAAGGTTAAGGAATATGATTTATGTTTCAATAAAGCAATAATAGTACGTATGACATACCTATAAGATTAAGAAAGATTCAAAAAATTATTGATTCATAGTGATTCAGAAGTCGGAACTGATTGTAAATTCAAATCCGGTTAATATTTAAGCTAAACCGGTTGAATTTAATCGGGCTAATAAATATTTTTGTTTTTATTGATTGATCAGCAAGAATTTTGATTGGTTAAATGAAACTAGGTTTCAATTTTTGGAATCTGTTTATCTGGTATAGAGCCGATTTAACTCAAATTTATAATCTGCGGCTTAATTATAATCTAGATGTATATACAGATCGGATATCTATTCAAATGAATAATTATACATAATATTACTGTATATTTCTAATACATACAATAAAAATAATAAATATAACAATAATAAAATACATAATATACAGTGACTCTATATACGTACAGCATCAGAACTAGTGTTGGCAGGCGAAACTTAGAGGTTTCGACACAGACGAATGGCGAAACCTAGTTTCGACTTTCGCCAAAAAAAATTAAAAAGGCGAAATGGCGAAAAGTGGTGAAACTGGTGAAACTGCTAAAAGGTGGCGAAACTAGAAAAAGGTAGCACAACTAGTGAAAGATAATAAAATTAATAAAAAAAAAAGTAATAATAAAAAGGTAATTAAAGATATTTAAAACTTTTTATATAATAACTGTGACAGATTAAAATGAAATCAGATTAAAATGAAATTTTGTATAAAGTAAAATAAACAAGCCACAGAAAAATATAAAATTTTGGGTTGCATTTTTTTTAGCTTTTTTTTAGGGTTAGGGGACAGCTTTAGGGGTAAAATTAATAGTAAACAAGTATAAGTGGGGTTTAGGAGGTTAAATAGAAACCCCAAATTTCATTTTAAACCGATTTCATATGATCTGTGACAATAATTATTTTTATTTATATACAGTATTTATATTTATATAATATTATATATTATTATATTTGTTACTATATATATGTTGTGCCTCGGATTAACGCTTGCCTCAGATCACAGCTGACGCACTTCAGATGTTATTGCTGTATTGTTAGGTGAGGTGCGTAACCTATCGATCGGTAGTAAACACAAAAAAAAAAATTATGTATAGAAATTATTGAAGATTCAATGTGCTAAAAAACTTAGACCGTAAGAATATGCTGTGAAAATTTAGACAAAAAAAAAAAAAAAAAAAAAAAAAAAACTATATAAAGAGAAAAAGAAAAGTACGTATTAATTGGAAATAGAATGTGCCGTGAAATTCTGACAAAGAATTTTAAAGAAAAGAGCGGAGGTGCTGAAGAGACTTAATGTAAAAGATTGCTACTGTTGATGATAAAATACAAGAGATTCAAAAACGCTTTTGAAGATAAGATAAGATATAGGATGCTGCTGGAGTTAAGAAAATCACCAAAATGGTTTAAAGTGAAGAATGCTACCAGTAGAAAAACGCCGAAAAGATCCAAGAAATCAAAAACAAAAAAGAGGCCCCCAAGTAAAAGGTCTTTTATTCAGTTTATTTTACTCTCGGACTTCCGTCAGATTGCAGCTTAGGTGATAGGTTACGCACCTCACCTGACAATTTGCATCTGAGGTGCATCAGCTGTGATCCGATGCAAGTGTTAGTCTGAACAAATATATTTTTTACAATAGAAATTATAGGCAATTCCTATTTGTACACTACATATATTTACACGGATATATAGAAAGCCAATCAGGTTACACGATCAGTTGTAACGTAAAAATATTGCTTTCTTTAAAAAACCGTTTATAACTCAAAATTTCGCTTATTCAACCACCTTTAACCTCGTCCCATCCCAAGGCTGCTCTTACCCTAATTTTTAGGCTACGCTTAATTTTTCATTTTACGCAATTTTTTTTTGATTTACACATTACACGGATTTGCAAATTAATACCCCTAAGATTTAGAGCTAGAGCATCGGGAATTAATCGCCAGTAATATTAGTGTTAACGAACTACTTACATACGTATATATAGTATTTTAATTAAAGTTTTTAACAATGAAATATTAAAAAGAAAAAACCTCAACTATCTAACAATAACTTTATTTAAATGTATATTTTATATAAATAATATTAATACATAGATAAACGCTACTAAAAGAAAACAAGATTTTAGGCTTTGAATTTTCAAGGTTGAATTTACTTCTAAGTTCCAAAAACCGGAAATCTAATTTTCGTAATAGTACTTGAATACAAACGAAAGGTTATCACTTTGCTTATTGCTTTTGTACATTTTTAAATAAGACACATGCTGTGCTTAATAGCCACATGAAAAATATTTTGATTTACTAACATGACTCAGTCTTTTCTAAAGTCTTAGAGGATTTAATCTTCGCCGAGTTTTGACTTTCCTTAGGGGTTTCAACTTTACCAGGGGTTTCGCCGTTTCGTCTTTCGCCGGGTTTAGTTTCGTCTTTGGGACACTTGAAGAATAGGTACCCCAGTGATCATCACATCACATGAAATCGTTAATGAC